CCCTGTGTGACCTTAGCTATTTACTTTACGCCCTGAAGCTTGTATTAATTTCCATTGATGCACTTTTCCTACCATCTGTAGCCACCTTTAGTCATCGATCTTGACCTTTCAAACACCTTAGAAATCAATCCCAGCCCAATTTGACGCTTACCCCACATAATCCGTGTCATGTAAAAGTTTGGGTCTGACGAGATTTTACCGAAAAGATATCTTAACCCTGAACTGTTTTCTGGCCTTGATTCATTTAATTTCTGGTATGTTCGATACGACTTCGGCTAATGTGCTACGTAATTCGTAGTCCAAGTTCATTCAGTTCCTTGCTTTGGTGTGTGAGACATGAACAAATGTCAGAGGCTTCTCATTTGTTTCAACCATCCATTCCAAGTTCGCCTAGGATGACAGCTTCTCACCAGTACGCTGTATCGATACCTCCTAAACACTAAGCGCCTGTTTGGTTCCTTCTACCTTGTAAAGATTCGCACACTTCTTTACCTGGTAAGGCGACCTATGCTTCCGCCCTAGTGTTCACTAAACTGTAATTTGACGCGGCAAACGATTGCCTGACTCATAAGCGATCGGCGAACGAGCCGATAGAGGCGCCATCTAACCGCGCTGCTCTGAAGGCTTGTCTTTACATTTTAGGCAATAAAATTTATTACTGCAAATTGTCTAATTCACTAAACACTCACGAATGCTAAGTCAATGATGACCACTCAATATTGAATTCGTAATTAGTTAAATGTTTTGATATAGACGATTTCGTTGTATTTTGGTTTGGCGAATGATTGATGACCCAATGCTGATAAGAATACTTACCCCCAGTACAACTTCAGTTTACCCATTTGGGGGCAATTATCGCCAGGTTGAGAACCACTGTTGTAAACAGACCCCAACGAGTAGACTGGAATAGTTTTCACCGACGACCTTCGCTGAGACTGATTGGCCATTATGATACTGAGCGCTACTGCATAGTCAATAACAGGTCACCAGGGTGGCAAATTGCTAGGTCCTCTGTTGAAAAGCTATACGGAACACTGATATTTGTGCCCTACGACTCCTTTTGTCGGAAGAAACTGCTTCTGTTAAAGGTCATCGGCATTTTTAGGGTGATTAAGGCTTGCATAGTTCTTGGATGTGTCATATACGGAAGTGCAACCCAACTGGTGCATCTGCCGCTCAATCCTAACCAGCGATTCCATCCAAGCAGACTGTGGCGCAGACCGACCAATCACAGTTGAGTCATCAGCCACTGAACCGTATAGCCTAAAGCTGGTCAAACGCCTATCGCCTTGCGATCTCGCTGTATCAATGCTACCTGTTCTATCTAACCTCCAGTATTCTATGCATCTACTGAGAGTAGTTAGGCCATAACAGGATGATTGAACGATTGTTAACGGGCCACAACAGCAGGCTGTTTGGGCCTTCATTTTCAAACCCAGTGCGTCATCCGTCAAACACCACATTCCGAGTCCCACTTCCAGCTGCGGCTACCTCTGCTTGCAGATCCTGAACAAGGAAGAAGGCGGCCATGAAGTGCAGTTAGCAACACTGAAACTCACGAATTCGGATACGGTCCCAGTGATCGGAATGGCAACGGCCTAAATGGAGGTCATAGATTGCCATCTAGGCATAACACTCAAGATCAATCCTCTTACAATATTTACCAATGGAAGATATCGAAGTGAGACCTATCGCAATGTGTTCGTGGCCACCTACGAGGACAAAGCAATAAGTTTCCGGATACGCTGTACACAGACTAGGTGCAGATGACATAGCAAGAAAAAGGTGAACTGCATTCCATTCTGAACACTGCTCAGTGATTTCAACTCAAAGAACTCTAAATCAGCAGCCAAGCACAGCTCATAAGCCGTAAGGGTCGCTCCACACCAGAATTACAGTCGGCGTCTGTGATCCATGAACTCAGTAGACGACAATGGACGGCGATTAATTGTTATGACCACAAATGGGATTTAAAGCAGCACCAGCGTGTTGCGCAGTTGCGTCCTGCATTAGGTAATGATGCGCATTCGAAAACCACCTTGGTTGAGTGGTTTGCGGAATTCAAGCGGGGCATCAACATCATCATTATGCATGTTAGCTACAGGTGAAAAACAGCTCAACTACTGTGACGCAATACATAACAGCATCGTTCCGGTAAGCTATCCGCCGGCTACTATGCAGCAGAAAAAAAGTAAATTCAAAATTATAATAAGCTAAGAACTGAGATCGCGGTTCGAGGAGATGGCTACGAAGAAAGGGGTAAAAACAAGAAACTCACCGCACGGACGATATTTAGACATGCGCCTAGCCATGTCAGCAGGCGTATCGAGCCAGAGGTGTTCATCGTCTTTCGGACCCAAACCAGGGAGCCTAGACGCTCCAACTGAGGCTAGCTTCGAAGTGAGAGCCTTCATTCCTCTCGACCAGGTCATCGCTTGGCCAACCCTCCTCTTCTTCCATCCACACCCCTGGCGCGCAAACAACGCACGTCGCGGGAGTCGGTGGGCTGACGTGCGTAACACGTGGCCGCGACATCGGAGCCTGGTGCGTGAAATAACGGTTCTGAGCGGTTCATTTCCTTTTCCTGTGTCGTAAATAAGGCGTCCAACACGCTCGATGATCACACGGTGTTCCAAACAGTTGGGAGGGAAACTGCGAAGGCGCCGGTGGTCGAACGTAACCAGCCTCTTTATGTCCGCTGATCTGAGGGGCCAAGTTTCACAACCGTGCAGTAGAGTCGAACGTACGGCTGCATTGTCAAAACTGCCCTTCAGGGGGACAGTGATGTCGTTCCGGTGCCATAAGTGGCGAAGATTCGCAAAAGCATCTCGAGCTTTTTCAATACCGTTCGTGATCGCATCTTCAACCCCACGGGCGCTGCTACTACTTCCTAGGTAGTTGAATTTTGAAACGACATCTAGCTGATCCTCAGCAAGGATCAGTGCTGGAGGCGGTCCAGGCCAATCTTGGAGGAACGCTTTGCACTTCGAGGCTGTCAGTCAATAGCCAGCGCTAATTTGTCCAATGCTGCCTGGCCAGTTTATGAGCCGTCACGTATTAGGGCAAAATCCTCAGCATATTCTAAGTCAAGTCGTTCACCTGGGAGCAGATACACACCCTCTAAGTCGTGTCCTGTGAACGCGATTTCCAAGCCTTCATGGATAGCGAAGTTAAAGAGGAAAGGTGACAGCGGTCATCATTGTCTTAAACCGCTGGAGATGAATAAAAGGCGGCGACAGACCGCTGCAAACCATCATTCTGCCTGAGCTACGCGCATATAATGATCGGATAATATTTGCATATTTCTCAGGTACACCTTTCCTGAGCACACAGTCCCAAAAGTCACATCGATCAACCAAATCGAAGGCACATTTGATAACGAGTAACACGACAACGGTGGGCACCAATAAATGTGACGGTGCTCCAACAACTGACGCAAAGGGAAGGTGGGGTCAATGCAGCCACGTCCTCGACGAAACTTGGTTTCCTCTTCACGAATATAGCTTTCACAAGTGCCAGTCAGTCTGTGAAATTTGACACAATCAATCAATTTCGAGGTGATGAAGCTCCGACTAATGACACTATGGCTGCCGAATTCCGAAAGGGAGTCTCCCTTGTCTCATATTCACCAGATCTTACCAGCAGCAGGAAGATCCTCATGTCGTAAGTCTAATCAACTACATGGACATTGGATCTTTTCGTTGTCTCTGGAATTTATCGATGCTGGCCGGCATATTCCGACTGGAAGAGTACACTATGGGACTGGCAGAAGCCTCCGGGCAAAATTCCGTGCTAGCCTGAAGAGAGATCGCGAATCCTGGTGGTCCCACCGTAGATCAGAGATGGAAATGGACGCTGCCCTTGGTAACCATCGTAAGTTATTCCGGCTGATACGAGAAACGGGCAGCAGTATACTTGGTGTTAGAGAAAATATACGTGACGAGAATGGACAGCCTATACAGCACTTCTCAAAACGTTTGGAGCGTTGGGCTGCGCACTTTGCAAGGCAATTTTATCGGTTGGAATGGTTAGGTTTTGCGCCGATCACTGATCGCCCCGCTCCCTGGTCTGTCCATTTGTATCCACCCACTCGCTCAGAAGTCGAACGTGCGATCGCACTGTTGAAGTTAAATAAAGCCGCGCGACCAGATTATCTACCTCCAGCCCTCATCAAATTCGGTAGACCTGCTCTTGTGGATGAGTTATACGAGTTACTGGGGAAACTGTAGGAGCAGGACCCAGTCCCAACCGACTGGAGCCGATCCATCATAGTCACAATTTTCAAGAGAGACTCACTTTCGGAATTCGGCAGCCATAGTGTCATTAGTCGGAGCTTCATCACCTCATAAAATAGACACTCTTCCTTGCTTCGCTCCAATGGAGCATTGTATTCCATTAATCCGATGTTGAAAATATGGGAAGAAGTGCGCCCCTCTTTGATAACCGACCAACGAAAGGTGTACGAACTGAGTACTCAGTCACCGGCGCGTTTCCCTGACTTCGCTCAGCTAGGTTGCGAGTAGGCTATTCAGTCAAAGGCTCGGGGTGGTCACCGAAGACGACTCCTTACTTCGGCTCGCGCGATCGGATAGTATCGTGCCCTCTCTGAAAAAAGCATTTTTCTGTGTTGTGTTCGGCATTCTTTTTCTACAACTTTACTCCCTTCGATTCAAAGGGTTTTGATGGCTACATATCTATTCGTAAACTGTTGAAATACGCGTGTCACGTGACTTACCTGGTATTCGGAGTGCGATAAAAGCAGATACAAGTGTTTTATAGGGATTTGCGATTATCACACGGTAGCCCTGTCTTCGCTTTTTTCGCAAGACTCATGTACACTGCATTCGTCGCGCATTCTTCCCTACTAGCGCGCCTACAGCGCCGTGGCATAGTTAGGCGTATCATTACATGAATAGTTCCTGGCGTTTCCCTCTTAATCTCATTATCCAAACTCTCCGTGTAGTAGCGACCACACAAATGAAACCATCAAGTGGGCGCGTACAAGAGCCCGTATGAAATTGGCTTTATTACTGAAAGAAACTATACTCAAGTGGAAAATAAAGAAACAGGCATCTGGTTCTTCTCTGTTGCACTTTCATCGTTTCATGGTACATAAAGAGAAACAAACCGTCAAAAATAGGAATCACACGCCTCCATGGGGCTCGGGAGTGGCTCTGAATGAGTGGGGCATCTGACCAAGAGTGTCGCAAATGGTTATGTCGGTAAAGTTGGTAAAAATACAAAATCATGCTGATTAAGAAGCGGACCCGCCGAGAAGCAGGCAGATACAGCTAATCATCGATTTCGACTGCGGCCTCCCACGTGTGATGCGGTCAACGATCCATGGCTGTATCGTTCTAATTCGTTGGTAATCAGACCCAATCGGCGCTTGTATCGAGACATACTTGCGTTGTCTTGGCGCGCTTTGGCGTCGTCGTATTTGCGGCGTGTTTGAGTTACCAGTGAATGCAATTCCGCCACATAGCGCTCGCGTTCCACCTCTGAGTTCCCCCCACTGAGACGGCGCTCCAACCCCTCAATTAACCGGTTGATAGTGGACAAATTGGATTGATTTCTGGTTCGCTCAGCTGGTGAAATCTCTGGATTTGCTAGGCACTGTTCAGTTTTGAGTTTGTCATCCTTGAGCACCTCTAAACTATAGATGTTATTGGAGTCGTGCGGGGCCACTATCGTGCGGGAACGTTCCATGCTCGGTGACTAAAAAGGGCAACGAAAGGAATCGGCTCTTAATCTCATAATTTGAATACAAGACACTTTAAAGATACCACAGGTCTGGACAGTTTCATTGGTACTCGTTCCTAAGAATACATCTCGGACCGATTTCGTCCTAATCTAGACTCTTCGAGTAGTAATGGCTAAGGTGGTCGCAAGCGTTGCTCATCTAGCCCGCTGGCGTGGCGTCTGTCGGGATACCATGACGTCGCCAGGTCGATTCCAAGATCCAGGATGTGGAGTGCAAGCGACATCAAATTACCCGCCTGTTATGCGGTACCACTATCGAGCGGTTTATTCCAAAGTGAATTGAGCTTAGGCTTCGCATCCAAACAGAAAAGCGTATAATAATCCAGACTAACAAGTGACACCATATGCTAGCGAGCTAATTATACGGGGCGATCTACCGATCAGAACTGCTCATTGGCGTTGGAGCAGTCAGATGGGCAGTATTTCTCAACGTTAATTTTGTGTAAACTGAAGCATCAAGGCCTCTGATAATAAGTATTCACTGAAAGTTCTTCAGGCATTATTTGGATTGAGTCATAGAAAAAGTGGGACGGTTGTTCGAAGGCGAGATATATAACCGTGGGACGAGGCTGGATCTTAATGTTGTGCGATGGTTTGTGTACCCCTGTGACCCATTGAGCTACGCTGGGTGGCACTTACAAGTGCCTTCAGAGCCACTCATACCAGACAGATCAATGGTTAGGGGTCAGACTAACTCAGTCTCACAATCGCCCCGCTGTCTTGCGGGCAGGCTATTTAGCCAAAGGTTCGGGGTGGAGTCCCCTAAGACAACTCTCTACTTCGGCTTGGGCAACCGGGTAGTATCACTCCCACTGACAAAACCATGGACTGTTCAACTGCAATATCGCTGTCAGCTGCTTTTGCTCCTACTAGTCACTCACCTTCACACGCCACCTGTTCATTTGTTACCAATCTGTATTATCCGTTACCAAGTGCTTCTTGTTTCCATGACTCCTACTCCGGATGGTTTCGTCGACACCCAGAGAGCTCGCCCAGTCACATTCTATTGGCCTCGGACTTCATTCCGTCTGGCATTCTTCAATGTACGTACACTCATGCAGATCGGGCAGCAAGCTGATCTTGCGCGCACACTGGAATCCATCGCCATCGATGGTTATTGTCTTTCCGAAACGCGATTCCAAGATCTCAGTGCTGTAATTGAGTTGGGATCTCCCACCGACCACGGAGCCATATTTCACCTAGGTCTAGCTGGTGACGCAGAAGCAACTGCTGGCGTTGGTGTAACGCTAAGTAGCAAAGCCGAGGCAGCACTGCTGGACTGGTTCCCGATTATTAGCCGACTGTGTGCAGTTCGGCTTCGGGGATCATGCAAGATAAACAGATGTCGTGACGAGAGACGCAACTAGTTTGTGATCACAGCTTACACTCCAAATGACTGCAGTTCCGACTCCGTCGAGGACCTTTTCTACCGTGAACTAAATCAGCTCTTAAGCAGAGCCTGCAAATCCGACATCGCTGTCCTTGCTGAGGATCTCAACGCACGGGTCGGTCGTCTGATGGCATGCAAAATTCACCTCGGTGGTCACCATGTGTTCGATAAGAGCCGCGCAGATAATGGAGAGAATTCTCACACTGTGGGAAGATAAGCATCCTTTTCTCTCGAGCACCAACTTTCGGCATTCGAAGAGACGTTCCGCTACTTGGCGATACCCTTCTGTGTCTCAATCATGGTCTCAGATCGATCATGTCGCAATCAGTTTCAGATGGAGGGGTAGTGTAAAGGACTGTAGATCAATCTGGTCCACTTTTTTGACTCAGATCATGCTTTTGTCTGTGAGAACATCTGCATGAGTTTCGGACGGTCACCGAAAAGAAAGCGCTGTATGATAGACCTAAATAAACTATCTACTGTTTCGGTTAAGCAGGGCTACCAATCTTCCCTGGCTGGTGCACTCGGCTGCGACCCACCGCAAAATAGTGATGAACACTGGTCTGCATGTAGAGGACCATAATATCTTTCGGACAGCAAGTCTGTGGTCTTACTCAGCGCACTATGAAGGAATAAATCTCCACGCTCACTTTGGATTTATTTGACCGCCGCAGAAATATCCCGGCGGAGTCTGATCATGATGAAAGGCGTCGTTTTGTCAATCGGCAGTTCGCACAAAGCCTACGCAGTGACGGCGAAGCCTGGTGGTCCCAGCGTGCTTCGGGAATGGCGGCCGCCGCCCTCTCTGGCAATACTCGCAAGCTCTTCCAGCTCATTCGATCCACTGGCCACAGAAAGCCTGGTGTCAGTGAGACTATATGCGAAACGGATGGTTCTCCGATTGCCAACTTACAGAGACGATTAGACCGAACATTCTCAATTCCAGTTCAATTGGCCCTCACCGGCCACTTATAATCCCTGCGAACCCAGCTGTCCGTCTTAGGTCGTCACACTTGATCCGCCCAGCGAAACAGAAGTTTGTCTTGCGATTCGACACCGAAGACGAAGGCTCAGACTGACTTCCTCCGAAGCTGCTCAAATATGGCGGTTGAGTTATCAGTACCCAGCTACCCTCATTGTTCTCCGAAATCTGGCATGAAAAAGGTGCCTTCTACCTGTGGCGAGTCAGTTATTGTCCCGGTTTTTAAGAAGGGTGCTCGCACTTCGTGTACTAATCACCGGGAGATTAGTCTCCTTTCGTTTGCCTTCAAGCTATTGGCATCCATACTACTTCGTAGACTATCTCCCATTCGCGAATCGCAGTACCGGGAAGAACAAGCTGGCTTCCGACTTGGCCGCGGGTGTGTGGATCAGATATTCACACTCCGTCAAATCCTGGAACACCGCCACCTTTACCAGAGGCCTACCATCGTTGCATTCCTGGACATCCGTGCCGCATTCGACTCGGTTGATCGACCTGCACTATGACGTTGGTTGCTAAGGAACGGTTTCCCAGAAAAGTACATTGTCATCCTACGCGCACTGTATTTCCACATATGGCAGAGTGAGGGTGTATGACAGGCTTTCGTCGTTCTTCCTGGTCAATAGCCGTGTATGATAAGGCTGCCCTATGTCCCCCTTCCTCTTCAATTTTGCGATCAAAAATATCTTGTCCAGAGCTCTACACGGTTGCCAAAATTTTGGTATACAGCTATTACCGGACAAACGAGCAACCGACTTAGATTATGCCGATGAAATCGTCGTACTTGGTGAGGACTCACAGAGCATGGGAACCATTCTAGACTGCTTGGCGATTGAAACATCTAGGTACGAGATGTGCTTTGCCCCGTCAAAGTGGAAAGTGGTGCTTCAAGATGGGCACTCATCCGTTCTCGTACTCACTATTGAAGGCACACAGCTTGAGCAAGTGGATAGGTTTGTCTACCCTGGCAGCTGTATGTCTTCCGGGATATTTCCCCTTTGGTAAAGAGTGGTGTTTACAATACCATCGTTCGGGCGGTGTTGCTATGTGGAAGCGAGTCATGGCCAGTTCGAGTAGACGACATGCGCCGGCTCTCGGCCTTTAACAACAGGTGCTTGAGGAGAATCGCTCGTGTGTGATGGCAACAACACATTTGAAACAGTGAAGTCAGACGTCGTGTCTTAGAGAACGCGAGTATTCGCTTCAGCAAGCTGGTTTTCCTACGCCGGTTAAGATGCTTAGATCATGTTCTGCGTATGTCAGCTGAGCGTCTGCCCTATCGCGCTCAGTTTGCTCGTGCAGGACTCAACTGGAAGAGACCACGTGGTGGTCCACCATCTACCTGGCGACAGCGAATGAACTCGTTGACTTCATGTCTTGCCACCATTGGATCCTCACTTCTGCCTGATTGCGGACCAAAGGACGAGGAGGGTCGATGGCTGGAGACAATTCAGGATATGGCTCGTAATCGAAAACGGTGGAAGATCTGTATATATAACTGCTTGGATTTTGATACTTAATGCTTAACGATTAAAATTGATTAAAAAAATAAAAATGGCGTGTGCAAAGTAACAAATAAATGCTCCGTTGTTTTTTCTATTGCGGAACAATGGCTAAAGTGTGTTGTTCACCTTCAGTTAATGTGCCATGACGCTGATACGGTATTCAACCTATCTCCGTTTAGTTATTCCCATGGTTATATTTGGCTCTACGTCTATTTGATAGACTGCTGACTATACTACTACTACTACTACTATAAGCGTGGAGCGTTTCTGACAATTCAGTCCAGTGTGTGGGAAAGGTACTATTGGTGGAACACCGGTATGCTGAACGCGCAACACACATGTATAACGCACTTACTTTCTTTTGTATACACTGTACTTTCCAATCCGTAGTAATCGTCTAAGTTCTCACCTACTGGATCATAAGAGCAGAATGGGTGACACATTCTCAGCTCCTGTGGCTTAAACGTTGAAGAGAAATTTTTAACGATCCCGTTGTGTCAGTGTCGTTTCCTGGGTCACATGATCCCACTTAGGATGTTAGTGTCACGCCCCATACAATCCATCGCTTCTTCTGATGTGAAACAAGTCATTTGATCATGGCGACGAATGACGACTCAGCTGCGGCTGGTCCAGCTTTTGCCCAACCGTAGATGGTGTGCAACTGACCCACTTTTTCGGAGTTGCATCATCATTGGTCATTACCACCCATAAACAAGCTGAGATGTCAACTGCAGCACAGTAGCTAGCTCTGCTACCTTTCAAATACATTGCGCCATATCGATCATCGCGAAAGCTAAGCTGGCGGAGTGTGCATTAGCCATACTCTTACCTTCCGACTGATAATCTATTGTGTCTGCAGTGACATATGTTTTCTGCTAATTAATTTCCAATGGGGTCAACGTCTGCAGACATATTTGCCTTTTCGCCCCCCGATCGTTTATCCTGTTATGGCGGTGTAAGCAAGCAGATCCATCACACACAACTGAGCTCGGGTTAATGGGTGTTGAAGTGATCGATACCCTTTCGCCTCAACTCTGGTGGCCGGAGAGCAGTATCCAGTAACAACACACTTCAGATAATCACCAGTGCACGTGTAGGCGGCTATAGGGTCATTGATTACCCAGAAGTGAGTACCTATTGGAGGGCGGATGAACAACCTTGCTGGTCACCGGCTTCTGTGTGGACTGCAACCGAACACAAAGAAGGCGAATGAGCCACCTGGCTGTCAACGGTCTTCATATTCAGAAACCTAAGTGAATCTCCCCGCTGCCTTGCAGGTCAGGTCTGTAAGACCAAAGGCTCGGGGTGGGGTCCCTTAAGTCAACCCTTGGCCTGGGCAACCGGGAAGCTCATTGTCCACGCAACACATGAACCCTCATAACTTTTTCGCTGACAGTTTCTTTTCCCCTTTTTATTGTTTTACTCATGTGTTGTGGCACTTTGCCAGTTGTTTATTGGCCTAGTTTTAAATAGCTGATGAAGGGTACCGTTTGAGGCATGTAAACTCTGGATCAAAACAAAACAATAGGGCTGTCGCTTAAATCCACTTTGTGTGAATTGTTCACACGTCCGGGCAGTGGAGGAGAATGACGTTTCCCCAACTCCCTTCTATCTCACTGCGTTTACAGCAATAAGGATGTGGGGTGCGAGACAGACTCATGACAGTAGGGTAATCGAAAATGAACACACCACCTGACCTTAGTGGTGTCATCTTCAAAAGTTTGAAAGCTATGGGCCCACACCGTATGAAGTTAGGCGAAATGGATGAATACTTTAAATATTGCGGTCGCGAGTTAAACGGTGAGGTCTCGTAGAGTCTTCTTCACTTATCATCATTCATGGCGTTGATGCGACGTCGGCCTGCCGTTGAATGAAGTCCACAGGATTGTTATCCATATATGGGAATACATGGTTCATCTTTCACTAAGCAGTGACATCATGCACCAGTGTGACGGTTTACCGAGTAGTAACATGTGCACGATATTGGTGGAAGGCTATGCTGTATCACGACAAATTAACCGGTAACTGTGGATACTTTGAGTAGGGGGATTCTTCGCATCAACTCAAAGTCACAGTCCGAAAAGCACTAGCCGACCATTCCGTCTTAATGGGATTCGCCAGTAGCGCGTCTCCATCAGGAACTGAGCCCATGACTACCAGCTACCAGCTGCTAAAAACACTAGGCCATTTGTGACGATGGCAGACGGTCACTGCTTACAAGACAAATGCAATATAGCGGAACTCATCTTCAACTACCACGCGAGTTACGAATTTTGCAAAGGAAAGAGTTGGTCCTTATAGTCGCGGCTTCCCATGTAGCAGCTGTGTACGACACAGCATTCAGAAGCGGTGTGGGATTTTTGATTGCACGTGTGTGTGATGCAATTTATTGTGGAGTCTTCGCAGCGGCTCTATGTCAGACGCCCCCTACGTATCCGGAAAAGCAGCAGATGGCCATTTCATCCTACTGCGATCAGTCAATAGCGCGCAGGCTCGGCTCAAGTATGGCTGCCGACTTCTGATATAACAAAGGTTTCAAAGTTAACTCGTAAGAGTGGGTTCGCGGATTCGAGCTCCTTGAGGCTAGATGAATGCGCTGTGCTGATAACGGCCCTTTCATCATCTACGAACTGTGGCAAAGGTCATTAAGACCGCAGCACACGAATATAGCATAATCCATCCCAAGAATAGACTGACCAGCCAAATTGTTTTAAAAAATTATGTGACGGTTACTAAAAGATAACACACCTTGGGGCTACTCTCACTACGATCTCTGCTGGTGCGTTTGATCTCGACCGTTACAGTTTTTGTGGGACTATTTTGAGGCTCAGAACAACTGGGGGGTGAAGGTCGGGTTCCTGATGATTGACTAGTGGCTGGTGGTGCGTGCGATGATTTTGGCAGGTTCAGCAGTAACCACGGCTTGCGGTATGAGGTCATTTGCGGGCCCTATAATTGTAGAAAGTGAAGGGGGTAAAATTGAAAGTGAAAATTCGGTGAGGAAATGACTAGGATGAGGAAGAAGTTGTGGGGAATTCTAATTCAAACAGGGCATATATGGACGAAGTATACGTATATGTGCGCGTTGCCGGCTCTTAGCCTTAAGGGCAACAAGCTTGCCTTGTAATTCGAAGGCGTAAGGGCGAATCTACGTAGGGACCGGGCGACCCTCGCCATATCCTTACCCCAGATGCGACGGGTGGTGTTTGTGCGGTAGCAAAGCGTCGGTACTGCGTATTGCTGATCTGGAGCATAGTGTCCTGCTCAACCGAAAGTTCGTTCAGACTGGAACCTGTTTAAATGTGTGAAAATATAAGTCGCAAATTCGTTTGGGCTCGCTTTGCATAAGAAAATATAGATTTATTAGAACTAGTAGCAGAACCATGGTATTTGTTTCGTTAACCTGCTGGTGAGGGCAAAAATTCGAAGTGAATGAGCAATGACAACCATCGACTAAACGAGCAACGCTGGTGGGAGTGCTGTGCAGTCGCGGCGACCCTCGCTGTGCTTGAAAGGAATGGGTATTCGCAAATCGACCATCTCTCCGATGCACATACGTCAGCGTCGAATTGGGACACTTGGCCGCCTTCGCTAATGTTCAACATATTCAGTGATTTGAAACAAGGAATTCCCTTTGTATCCCAAAATAGAAATATTAAGATGACGTCATCATTTCGTGCAATCTTGTCGACCACTTACATGCTTCGGATGATGGGTACAGGAGGAACAAGGTCACGTGTGATCGACTGGTGGCCGGGGGTGACCGATTAGCCTGCGCTACCACGGGAAGCTTAATGTTACTGCTTTTACACGCGACCGGTAACAATGACCCAAGTAAGCCCGAGAATGCGGGATGTGAAACTGTGTATTAGTACTGAGAATGACGGATCGGTGTTGATCCGGCACTCAGTAGACGCCTCGTGATTGTTGACGTAACCCTGTTTCTTATTTCATCTGGTTCAACCGTCAAAAATACCGATCGTCTGGAAGACCACTTCGGAATGAGGTCAGTGCACCAACGTAGCTACCTCCAGAGCTACAGATGGATCTGTATAAACAGTGCGATTTGCACTGCTTCCACGTTGTTGTCTTCTTTGAACACCTGGGTAGTGTTCTCGTCGGCATGAGTAAAAAAATCCCATCTGCATTGTGCATTGATTTTCTAACGGCTCGTTGAAAAGACATAAAACGCGGCTGAATTACGGTTGTTCGTGTCGACGAGATCACCACTTCGGTCCATCCTGTTCACTCTATCCTTGTAGTTCGGCCCCAGCCTTGTTCACGCACGTCTCAGATACAGTCAGGCTCCTGAGTCCACAACCATCAGACTGTTCATGTAACTTTCTAGTTCCTCCTTCGTCTGATCTCATGTGATGTTAGCCGGGTTTTTTTGTAATTCGCCGTATCTCGACGATTCATCGTGGCGTCATCGGTTTCAGTGATTTTACGCCCCAGCTTGCTCGTTCGCTCTCCATCGCGCGGTGGTGGTGTATGTGTGTCACATGAGCGTCTAGTGACGCTTTGGCCGTGCACTGCTATGGCCAATGGTGAACTGTTCATGAGGCTCCTGTCCCGCACGGTTTTCAAGTGCACTTTGTACCCCGCTTGGAAACTGTTGTGGTTTGTGTGGTATTTGTTACCCTATGAGATCTGAGCTGATTCTGCTTTGTCGAATTTTTATAGTGACATATGCGAATTGTCGCCTACACACATTGCTTATCACAGACAAGCTGAGATCAGGTGCCACTGATACACTAAATACAGTGACGATTCCGCTACAAGACGAGAGAATGAATCGACCGCGTTGTATTTTGAGAATGCGAACTGCATGTCGTAATGCGCAACATCCTGTCTCTCACTCCAATAGAACAGGTACAGGAGGATAGTGTGGCTTCAAGACGAGGCAATGACAAATGAATCAACATTTCAACTGCAAATGCACAAGGTAAAAATAAGCGATTATGAGTTTTTGGATTCGGGGATATTTCCCACAGATTGTTGTGAAGCTTCAGGAAGGGATGCACTGATTTTAGAGAAGAATGGGACTTGGGTAGCGCGCGTCCCTGTGACAAACTGTGCAGTGAGCAGGTGCAATGGTTAGAGAGAAAGGTAGCTCTTAGGGCAGACGACCATAGTTGTTCCGAATATGTGATGCGACTTGCTAGAAAATAGTGACAGGAGCAGTGTCTTCTTTGCCGAGAGATGGAAATCGATTCGGTTTTCACTGATGTCTGAGAACAGTTCTGGGGTAATAAGAAGGATTGTTAAACCTCAATGGGATGCAGATGATATAACGACGAATAAAAAAGCATCAGCAATACGCCTGTACGCAGTACCGACGCTTCGCTGCCGCGCAAGCACCACCAGTTGTGCTTGGGCCAAGGATACCTCGAGGGTGGCCTGGTCACTACGCATGCTCGAGCACGTGCCCTCGAACTACAAAGCATGCTACGGACGAAGGATAAAATAGGCAGTCACGCATAACGCAGTTCTGCAGGGCCCGTTACAGTCCTGTAATTAAGGTGGTGGAGAAGAAGGAGACAACTGAGTGGGAACACGATAAAAGGACCTCCGTGGCCGAGTATCGTGAGTCGGTTATTTTTGCATAATGCAATCGAGATTTTGTTTTCTTAAATTAAAACCATGGACATATTTTCCACGGTCTCCTCATTCAGCTTCTTGTTAAAAAGCTACTGTTTGATTACAAGTTTATGAGAATATTAACGGATAAGCGAAACCGGTTAAAGGATTTGACATGATAGTTCGCATCAAACACTTCGTGCTCTGTGACAGAAACCGCGGGTATATGGCAGTTAGATGGGCTACAAATGCGAATCCACCAAGATGGGGATCTATACTTTATCTATTGATTAATGCACTGACTGTTTCGTTGAATGATCCAGGGCTGGTAAGACCTACACAGTCAGGCGGCAGTTCAGTAACTACTGTTCCTGTTTGTGCGGTATCAATAGAGTACAGTCGGTGCTCTTAAATTTCTACTAAAGTAGCCCATGGTCCTCAGAACCAGTAGCGTCTAACAGGAGTCCGTCAGTATGAACCGCGAAGAAGAACATGAGACGTAAATGACACCTAGATGGCATTTACGGATCATACCTCATTGCGCTGTTCCCAAGATGGGGTTAACTGGGATAGAGATGACCGAAATTTTCCCCGTACGCTAGCATAGTTTGGGAACAACGCTTCAAATCGTTATCCATTGAAGAACGAAAGGGAATATGAGTAAGCTGTCCGGGACCTTGATACGGAGATGCTGAGCAGATTGATCAATCCTACTTCGACAACCAAACTGCCGGGATGCACTTACCGAGCCAGTGGAGCGTTGACGGATGCGCACTTCCAGCCGTCCGCCGACAGCTTTGCGACCGTCCATTAGATCAGCCAGATGCGTGACTGTGGCGGTATTGGCCAACGGCCCAAGCGGAATGGAAGCAGTGCCCAGTAATCCGGGTCTTCGGAAGAGTCCGCGACTGTAGTAGACCTGATTGAGGAGAAGATCAGAGAGTACGTGCTCTGGACTTCAGACAGACGCGACCCAATGCACCAGAAAAGCATAATATAGCTCAAATGTGACTGTGTATGAGCTTGCACAGGCAAGAGAGATTTATACAAGAATGAAAAAGGAACAAAAAACAGCCCTGAGTACCCTGTCCGACCGAGTTGACCATGTCCATGGGTTAACCTTTGAGGAAAATTGGCAATATACTCCTGGTACCCCACTGGAGTGCGTGCTACTCTTGAAAAGCTTACGTTGGTTAGGTTATGTCTTCAGTATGCCAAGTGATCGCCTTCCCCAGCGTGCATTATATGTAGTGGCTACATCAATTTGGTCGACAATGTGGAGAGGTCAGTCTATGATGCGGGATAATAGCAAGAAGAAACTGACCGAGAGATTTGGTCAGGCTGGCGTATGCCGTCTTGGTGAATGGGAGCCTCGGGATGGCCTGCATCAGTGGTTGGAGACCCTGTCGGATGTGGCGCAGTCGCGCAGTCAGTGGCAGTAGTACATACGGCGTTTTGCGCACATCTGTTAATTTTCCACATCGATTAGTTTTCCGCATTTCTTACTTGACTTCGTTTTCTTAGTATTTTATGAGCGTTCAACGCGATTTAGGGTTGTTAATGGTGAGTCGTGGCGACTGAGTCCACCGCACTTCGGTGCCCGGAGCATGGTTATTCAACTGCAAACCATTGGAAAATGTTGGGTAATCTTCTGAGTATGAGGAACTCCACGGCCTGTTGAGTTGAGGCAATCCGAGGAATGACAAAATTCCACATTGTTAGGCAAGCAGGCGCATCGTCAACATAGGTGCAGACCACCTCGCGCAACAGACAACTCTCCAGTCGCGTGAAGTGAGTAATAACACCGCTAGTAGCCATAGATGGAAGGTCATATTGTCAAAGGTTACCGATGATGCTTGTGATAAGCACGCTTGCAAAGTTGGTCACACTAATGTATGATGCCAAGCGGAAGACCTCAAGTGCATAGGTGAGCACAGCCGCGCCAAACCGCCTTACGTGGGAAATGAGTCCACTACGTCGTTTGAAGTTAGTAATTACGGGTACCGGTTTTGTTTGAATGGTAAAGGGTGTATCTATTTTGTTTACTCATGTGCCGAAACCGGTTCTCATGCTTCACTAACGATCTGATAATCAGATAATGTGCCACCAATACAATAATAAGGTAGTTGCTTAAATATTTCCCTTTTTCACTGTGCAGTAATGTGGACTTATTTTTCCCTGTTAGCCAGACCCATACTGCTGTTCCTTATGCTAAGTCCAGAAATTTGGTTGCGAGACCCTCCCCACACTATATTATTCTCGATTCCACACATGTACATAATTCCCTAGAAAGTTTTCGACCTCCATCGCACTAATACTTACTAATACTTGCTATTTCCCTTCTATTTACGTTGATCCGGACTACAACTCGTTCAACGGTACGATGAGATACTTGCTACCGAAGAAAGTTGGATCTGCATAAGAATAAATTACAACTTGAATCCAATCCCACTCAATACGAATCTCCTCGCATCCGATAAACAATTTCAGAGAAAACTTGTACATAATGATCGGTCTAGGGTCTCTGGAACGTGTCTCACCTTTCTGAGAAATATACCTATTATTATTATTATTATTATTATTATTATTATTATTATTATTATGACAAAGAAGGAAGATAACAAGTGTTGGGTTTCACAAACGCTGTTTTGAGTTTTTTATACCGGAGATTAATCAACAGATAAAACGGCACAACACTGGCGGCACTAATATCTGTTAGGTGCCATCACATCCAACGTTTGCGACCACATGAATTTCGAGTCACGTGGTCCCAAACCTGGGAGGCGTACTGATCCGACTGATGCTATGCTTGAGGCTGCTTTCTTCATGTTCCTTTTCCATATCATTGGTTCTCAACCGTGGCACATGTTCCAATCGCTTCCGGAAAACACAAATAACGCTCACCGGAAGGCGATGGGCTGGCATCCGCAGTACGTGGCCGAGCCAACGCATGCGGCGTCGGAAAACAAGGTTTTGGAAGGTCGGGGCCGTTCGCTCCAAGCACCTGTTCACGAAGCTCCGTATTGCTTATGTGATGTTACAACCACACACGAGGAGTCCTTCGCCTGGGCAACCGGGTAGTATCACGCCCGCTGACGAATCATGGACTACACCGCTCACTACTACTACTGCTATGCCGCTCTTCTGTCTTAACTCAACCGCTCAACGTCCACTCACAGACCACCCCACCCCCCGTCCTTCATCTACATGTACTCTTATGTCTTCTACGGTCACCGTCACAAACGACCCACGTCTCGCAGCTGATGGAAGTAACAGCCAAACTCCCGGTTCTCAATGTCCTGCGATCGCAACCGCCTCTCACTCCACCGAAGCTCCAGCTCTTCTCCGACCTGGTTCTCCATTCATCCTCGCAGCGTTTAATGTTCGAACTTTGATGCAGATCGGACGACAAGCATATCTGGCCCGTACTCTTGAAACGCGATCGGTAGACATCTGTTGTCTTTCAGAGACCAGATTACAAGACTCTAGCGCCGTCATCAGAATGGCCTCTCCGGTAAACTCTGACGCCAAATACTACTTGCGGGTTTCCGGAGACCCAGAATCTGCCGCCACTGGTCAAGCTGGTGTTGGGGTTGTATTAAGTGCCAGGGCTGAATCAGCTCTGCTTGACTGGATCCCAGTCAACAGCCGACTATGTGCAGTCAGACTAAGAGGTTCATGTAACGTAAGCAGGCGTCGAGATGCTAAGCGTGCCTTATTTGTCGTCTCCGCCTACGCCCCTACAGACTGCAGCCCGGATGCAGTTAAAGATGGCTTCTACCAACAACTACATGAACTTCTGCGTTCCTCCAAACGGACGGATATAGTCATTCTTGCCGGGGACTTTAACGCACGGGTTGGCCGCCTTCTACCAAGCGAGCACCACATTGGGGGTAGTTTTGGTCTCGGTGGCAGTCGATCAGACAATGGAGACAGACTACTTGCTCTTTGCTCTGATCATCGCTTGTTTCTTTCGAGCACTAGTTTTCGACACTCGAGGAGACAGACTGCTACCTGGCGCCCGCCCTCACAAACGCAAGAGTGCTCCCAGCTTGACCACATAGCAATCAGCTACAGATGGCGCGGAAGCGTAATGGACTGCAGATCGTACTGGTCAACTTTTCTGGACTCTGATCACGCATTAGTTCGTGCTAAGATTTGCATGCGTTTCGGAGGATCACCTAAGCGCGCCCACTACCGACCGGACGTCGCAAATCTACAAAACGCTGCGGTTTTAACCAGGTACCAAGCCTCACTGTCAACTTTGCTTGGCTCAACTATTGACGGTGATCTCGATTCGCAGTGGGCGCATATCAAAGATGCGTTAGTTTCCGCCAGTATCGACACTTATGGAGTTACCCGTCACCCACCGAAACATTGGATTTCCGCCGACTCCTTGACGCTGATGGACAAACGCCGCTTGATCCCATCGGATTCGAGACACGTTGAAGAACGCCAATACCTTGGTCGAGAGTTGCGCAGGAGTCTGCAAATGGACCGCGAAGCTTGGTGGTGTGAACGTGCTAGGGAGATGGAGCTTGCTAGTCTCTGTGGTAATACCAGGAAACTCTTCCATCTCCTTCGAGTCACCGAAGGTGTTCGATCTGGTATAAGTGAAACAATATGCGAAGAGGATGGCACCTTAATCACCAATCTTCAACGACGGTTGGAGCGATGGGCCGAACATTTTGGCTCGCAGTTTTGTTGGCCCCCAGCTCCATCTGCTACCTCTGGCGCTCGCGCTGGGGCCGAGTGGTCTACCCCAACAGACCCTCCCTCTTCCCAGGAAATCGAGCAGGAGCTCCGGCACCTGAAGCGTTATAAAGCTCCCGGCCCTGATGGTCTTCACCCAGCTCTATTTAAAGATGGTGGCGCATCGCTGGTCCGAGAACTCACCGTTTTGTTCTCGAAAATTTGGTCGAAAAAGAAGGTTCCATCATCTTGGGGTGAATCGATAGTCGTACCCATCTTCAAAAAGGGCCTGCGCACAATCTGCTCCAACTACAGAGGAATAAGTTTAGTCCCCGTCGTTTGCAAGCTGCTGGTGTCCATCATACTTCGCAGGCTATCCCCAACACGCGAATCGTTGCAGCGAGAAGAACAAGCTGGGTTTCGCCCTGGTCGCGGCTGCATCGATCAAATCTTTACACTTCGCCAGATCCTCGAGCTCCGCCATGTGTATCAGAGGCCAACGATTGCTGTGTTCCTGGATATCCGTGCAGCCTTCGATTCTGTCGGTCGTACAGTACTGTGGCAGTGCCTTCTGAGGAACGGTGTCCCCGAGAAGTTTGTCTCCATACTGCGCGCTCTATACAGTCTGACCTCGGGCAGGGTTAGGGCTTATGGCATGCTTTCGCCTACCTTTGTGGTCTCCAGTGGAGTTCGACAAGGATGCCCTATCTCTCCGTTCCTATTCAACTTTGCCATTGAGGATGTCCTGAAGAACGCTCTGAGCGATTCGTTGAACGCTGGCGTTGAGCTCCTCCCAGGTAGTCGAGTTGTTGATTTGAATTATGCTGATGATATCGTCTTGCTGGGTGACGATCCACACGTCGTCCAACTTGCATTAAACCGCTTGACGATTGAAGCATCAAAGTATGGTATGTGCTTTTCGCCATCCAAATACAAGGCTCTCCTTCAAGACTGCCAGGTGCCTCTGCCTGCACTCACGCTTGCTGGTGAGACACTGGAGGTTGTGGAGAGCTTTGTCTACTTGGGAAGTTGCATCACTGCTGGCGGGGCTGTTGGAGACGAGATTTCGATGCGCATCTCGAAAGCACGTCTCGCTTTTTCTAGGCTGAGGCATTTGTGGCGTCGCCACGACATTCGTCTCTCCATCAAAGGGCGGGTCTATTGTGCAACTGTTCGTGCTGTACTGTTGTACGGATGCGAGACCTGGCCCATTCGTAAAGATGGCTT